CAGATGGGAATAGATCATTTCATGAAAAAAAAAAAAAAGGTAGATTTAAATTTTTGCATTTGTAAGCTCCTTTGCTGTTGTTACATTTAAATATTTGAACGTTTTTTTTTTTTTTCTGTCTCTTGAATGCACAACAAGTAACAGTAATTTGGGGTTTTGACAATTTGACTTGCAGTGCTTACTGTCATTTCTATCTGCTCAAAATGTTGTCACTACTAAAAATGTGTCCAGGCAACTTAATTATTTTGCCTTTAGAAAGAGGCTTATTATTATTGGATACATTATTTTTATCTGGAATGTAAAAAAATCTATTAGCCAGTGCCCAGACTACCAAATTTTGAGTTTGGGATACTGTGAATCCCATACGTACTAGCCTCAGACTGTTGTGGTTCTACTTCGATGAAATGAGTGCATGTGTATAAAATCCAATTGTACATTTAATTATTGACATTTACACAAATGTTTTATTTTTAATTTCAAATCATTAAATATCTGCTGTCGGTGAAATACAAGCCTGATATAAAAACACGTGTGTGACTCAGTTACATGCTTGTAAATTAAATATCCAATTATTTAGTTTAATATTTATGAGCTTTTCTAATCTATGTGAGTATTTTTTGCTATAACTGAAATAGTTTTTTCTTATGCAAAGTTTTACTGATATGAAATAAAACAGATAAAATGACTTGGACTGCCCACTCAGAACTTGAAGGCCTTTTTCCTACGTACTATGGAAAAGGGTGAGGTGTTCTGAATGCAGACTACCATTTAGTTGTATTGATTTCATTGTATGTGTAGACTGAATAACCTGCCCAGAGAATGTTTTATATATTCTAAATTAAATAATATATTCAATAATTCTGGTATATCAGTATTACATATGTAGTCTGTTTAACCTGCATGACATATATTGTAGTAACAAGTCTTATTTTTTTTAGTTTTGTAATACTATGAAATAAGTCATAAAATGAATATAGATATGTACATGTTTGTAATGTATAACTGAAAAAAAGGTTGGGCTTTTAGAATTTCAGTTTTGGTTAGTACTTTTCCTGTGTGCCTACTAGCCTGCAAAATATTTTACACCTCTGTTTCTTGGAGATTACATGACTTAAAAAATTCTTGGGGTTGTGAGAGACTTGGGGGTGTTGAAAGGTCCTACTAGGCAAGAAGCAAGTTATGTAAGACATTGTTCTTATCACTAAGGAAGGTATGGTTGGACACATGACTGTGTTATGTATTTAAAATTGTAACATTATTTTTAAATGTTTTTATTTAAAACAGTGGAAGAGTCAGTAGGAGTTGTGACCATCCTCGATTATAGGAAAGCTAACTTATAGAAAGATACTTTGAAAAAGAACACTTGTATTTTTAATCTAAGTGGAAAAACATTAATGGAGTTTGAAATGTTTCGAGCTATTCCTGTC